ATTTTCTAGAGATAATAATTTTCCTCACAGTCCACCATTATTAAGTGGTTAAAAATATAAATATGAGCGTAAAAAAAAATAAATTAAATAACTTTAAATTAACTTGTCTGTATAAAAAGTAATATTATTGGAATTTTCTTAGAAGTACGTAAAAAAGAGATGTATCTGTAGAAACATTTGTCATAAAAATGTTATACATGGTGCAGATTTAAATATGAAGATCAAATTCAACAAAGGAAAATGAAATATAGTCATATGAAATTTTTAGACGGAACTACTAAGGTATAAATATTATAACATAGTAATTTATATTAGTAACTAGAGTATATATTGTGCTTGTGTATGTAGTTAATTCAGACGTACATTTTTCCATAAGKTCTAAACTAAATAAATAATAATACAGGATAAAAGTTTCAAACCCTAAATTTAGCGACACGTCGTAAGCGGCAGTGAATTTTGTCATTATATCGAATAATATACAGAGTGAAATTTAATTAAAACTACATTCGGTCACATAGCTAAAAAAATATCTGATGTAAAAAAAATATAATAAAAATAAAAATAAATTTATGTTCTTGATAGTAGTGGTATAATACGTATAATATTATATTCAATATATTTTGTTTATGAATTTACAACTGTATAATGTAATGATTTAAAAGACCCATATGATTATTGATTATACTGGAACACAGTTATGCGTCTTAAACCCAATTATAAATTAATATATTAATATTACCTCTCCRATCTTTGTAGCAACTTTCCCGTTGAAATCGTGTTTAGCGTCTGAAGTATAGGATGAGGTGACTGATTTATATTTAGAGTAAAAAGATTTATTTTTCATTCAATGTTATTAATTTTATTTTATTTTTTAAACACACAACAATAGATATGTATTTGAATTTATTATGACAAACATTAACTTTTACGATAACGTCTCACTGCATAGACGATTTCCGTAGTCTTTTACACTCGCCTTTGAACGTCTATACAATAATATACAGTAACTACACGTATGGTCACGTAATTGAAAACTTAGCTCCTTAATGTTGTGTGTGTGTGTGTAATATCTGATCATTAGATGTTGTCCTTTTCAATATTTGCAACTTAATCTTATTCTTAATGATGGCTATCAATTATTATAATTATTTTATGATAATTTTAAATTTAAAAAATATATGATAGCTTAAACACACATAAATACAATAATAAAAAATTATGAAGTTTAAAATGAATAAAACGTGGACAAGAGTTTTATACTTAAAATTACATATTTATATACCTAATTTCTGGTATTTAATTATTGTATGTAATATACAAGGTGGTACCGCGAAATAATAACCCCATATGGGATTTTGAAAATTAAAAAAATATAGAATATTATATGATAGGTAAAAGTAAAAATAAATCTTAATATTTGTGTTATATCATTTCGTATACCAAAATATATAACATTATACGTATACTTGTTATATTTCTACAAATAATGTTAAATTTGGATTAAACTATAAATAACGATTCAGAACGGAGACGGTCTATATGGCATTTCAATCAGAAATATTATAGCAATTATAGATGTATGTAAAAATAGATAAATAAATAAATAATAATCAAATTGGAGTGAACGTGATTAAAAAAATAAATACTTTAATTTAAGAAAACGGTTATAATATATTAATATTATAAATATTTTTTAAGGTAGGTATAGCTACCTAAAATAATACATCAAATACTTCATCAAATTTTTCAAAATGTGGTTTTTACTGTCTTTCTCAATCACCCTCCATCACTTCGTCATTTTTATGAATAACAATTCTTCAATACCAAGAAATTCCTATTTCCTAATATATCATTAGGTTATTCGCAAATAACTACTACGTCAAGATGCAAACACTGTGCATTTGTTCTGAGAAAGTCTAACAACATAATATTTTAGTATAGTGAAGAACATTTTGTCATCATCTAGCATTATATGTTGTGTATTGCATTCCTTCTACGCCACATGTCATCATCTCCAAACATACGTAATATTATACGTTTACGTATGTGCGTACCTATACATTATACACCTCGATGAAGTTTGCTGGCCGTTAGAAAAATTATTCGAGTCCGCGTACGCGCAACAAATGAAAAGAATGATTAAATAATATTATTATTGCATTGGACTGGCTACGCGGGTGCGCTCCGGCGAAGATTGCCGTCAGTCTCCGATTTATAATGTGGATCACGGATCGCAATGGTCCCAGCGGATGGAACCCCCGCGTTTCGATACACCGGATATCCGGTATAATATTTCGCTGGGTTTATTACGACGTCGCATTTGGCGCAGGTACGTATGTGTGTGTGTAGGTCGATAAGCTATTATATCTAGGGTATAACTCCACCGAGAACGAGGATACTATAATAAAATATCATAGAAAAATTGGCCAACTTTTGTTATTGTTGTTCGGTGRGTACAACGCGGGCGAGGGGCGCACGCGAGAAATTTATATGGCCCGTGATTGGGTTAGGGAAACACTATTGTCGACGGAAACCACCTCACGGTCTATGTAATAATATATTGTGCGTGGGTTATGTATATAACGGTCGTAATAATAACATAATATTAAACATACATATAGGTAACGTCATGTCAAGCGGCATCGCGTGGATGACGGACGAGAAGTAAATGGACGAAGACGAAAATATATAAAGGAATATAAAAGTAATAAAATGGACAAAAACAAATTACGTTACTTACCAGTCGTTTCCGGTTTTCGATAAGTTTTGCCTTTTCCTACCGGTCTGATGCGGTTTCGGTTCGGCCACTAGGTTTACGTCTGAAAAAAAATCGTGAAACAGACACAAAAATATATATAAGTCTGTCTCCAAAACACGGTTTCGTGGGCAAAAGTCAAAAAGACTCGGTTGTTTAATGAGTATTGAGGAAAAAAATTGCAAAACAATAACAAAACAAATATGTGCATATTTGGAACGTGAAACTGTGCAAGTTACAAACACAAAATAAGYACACTTTGTCATTGCAAAATGTAWTATTTTTTGATCAAAATAGGTCCTACATAATACCTATAAAAATCCGATTAATTTTTTTCTACACAACAGCTATATATGAGTATAATATATATCTGTGTATACTGTATATAGAGTGTATTATTGATGGTGTCAATATATTAATATTATTWAAAAAAAGATTATCATCGACTTAGCGTAATAGATCAAAAATAATTTCAAAATTCAAATGGATTTGACGTACAATGAATACGATTTTATTTTTATGAGTACCTTATAAACCTATTTCAATTGTTWTAGCCAAATTTCTAATTTCAGTTAAGTTATATATAAAAAAAGGTCAAAGCAGGTGTCCAACTACGGCTTACGATTGAATACACGATAAATAAAAATTTGAAGAATTTAAAAAATTTTCTAAGTCTAGAATACGATTGGTCTGATGTTAATCAAAAATAGTATGTAATATTTTGCTATACATTATACAATAAAMCAATGAAGTGTGTGGTTTCTGTTTATCGATCTTTTTAGAGTCAAAATAATAAAAATGCGGTTTTTGAATACAATAAAAAGTATTTAATGTCTTAAATCAACATCGAATTTCGAGTCCAAAAGCAAAACTAACATTATAATATATTTTAATGCATACACYTGTGACCTGCATCGTCAGCTATCGTCTAATCGTTTTATGGAAATCGCATATACCTGAGCTACCTATATTATTTTATTTTGAATCACAAAACGTCTTTTAATTGATTATTATTCGTCAGTTGTAGTTTCGAACATTAAGTCACATTATAAAAAAATATATAAATATGCAGTATAAACACTATGATAWAATGCATGTGAGTACAAATTACTATTATACTCCACTGTCTATTCAGTATACATRATAACTTTTACACTCGTAAAAGGCGCATTACTATACGCGTGACAGACGTTGATGTTTTATCGGTCGTCGTTCAAAATGAAAAAGATAATTCAGAGAAAAAAATTCTCCTATTAAATTAGTCTGGTTGTTTGATGACGGCTGGTAGATTGTATAGTATACGACCGAAATGGCAAGGCGGTAAATCGTAAAAATATTTAACGTTGTAATAAATTCTTGCCAGCTATTATGAGGTATTTAACGTTCTATAATAATATATATATACACACACATATATATATATATAAATGTATAGTATATGTATATTTTATGAGCTGGTATTTATTGAAACAAAAGAATATTATACACGATATATATAATGCGGAAAAAACCAAGTGGGCATTGACAGAAAAAAAATCTAAAGGTTGCTAGGATTTTCATCATAAGCCTTCGGTAATAATGCGGGAAAAAAGAAAATTAAAATTAGGGAGTCGACATAAAATTGTATGTCTCGTTCTGATAACGCTTTGAACCGCATACGGACTCTAAATAGTATATACGTAATTGTAAATTCAAACGTCTGTTAAACCCATTTAAATACAAGTGCAACAAATCCCTTTTCACAGGGTCCTCCTGCAAGAGACAGGACAACATCAAAGTGTATTTTTATTTTTAAATACCCTTGGAACCGTAATTAAAATTTACATGTTTTTCCATTAATATTCATTTTTATTTTAATTAAGTAAACATCCAAGTAAAAAACTAACGATATACGACGGCTGAGCTTGAGAAACAACAGTCGAACATGTGATTATTTTTTTATACACTCATATTTTAAAAGTAGAATACAACYGTTTGACTCAATTCTGCAAAACGTAAAAAGAAACAGTGTTTACTAATTGGCCACTTAATTGAACGTCAATATACTGAGGGTCACCATTATATTTTTTCGAGAGCAAAACATACGACGAATCGACAATTTATAATACCGTACATACCTTCTATGATATAAATGTCCCTTTGAGCTTACAATATAATTCTGTAAGTAACTGCAGCTTCACAATATTATCACATTATTGTATGCAAAAGTAAAGTTTAAAAGAATCCATTTTCTTATGGTGTAACCGTAGTTAAAATTTAACCATTCGATCAACTTTAAATGTTATATTATCATTAACAATTTATTATACTGTATAATATTCAAATATTCTTATTTTTAAAGTGAAGCTTCTTTACGYGCGAAGAGTAACAACGACGGAAAMAATTGTGATGAAATGCTCTGTCTCGAGGCGGGTTYCCACTAATACGTTCGCGAAAATCCTTTGCTGCGATTGGTTGGTTAGGTAAGATTACCACAGGATTAACCACGTTACCATATTGTTGGACATAGCTGAAAATTTTACGTACACTGTACACACGGCACACACGTATAGTGGGAACCCGCYTTTGAGCTAACGACACGAAATTGTCGGTGGTACCAACCAAATGTGAAAAATTATTTTATTTTTCTCGAAATAATTACTCGTATTTAGTATTAGCGTGGAATGGAATAGTGAAACGGAGTTTCCTTTTAATAGAATTATATGCTGTAAGTTATTACATGTATTCGTATATTATGATATATTATGATTCGTATAATATAATGATCATGTACTTCTTTAATTATTATTATTTAGCAAAATTTTATTAGTTCATGCAAGTCCTTACTGCGAGCTTGTTAATCTTCAGAAAAGCCAAAAAATAACTAAAAACTTCCAAATAGTTTCACTTCATCTACTCGCGTGTTCATACACAAACACGTTTATTTTTTAAGTAATAATTCTGGTAAGTTTATCATAAATATGATTGTTTTTTCTTCTGAGTCTTAACTTACTACTTAGTACTTAGCAAAATATAGTAAAATTGTTTTTCTACTTCATGAACATTTTAAGTATATTCGCGACATATAGTTTCGTTTGTAGTTTACAGAACAAATGTTTACGAGCAAAATATTATAGATATTTTACTGTGACCATTGTTCTCCATAATATATTCTCGGTAGTCAATAAAAATTCGAATTGACCCATAGGTTTATATCAAAATCGTTGTAAGATTTAAAAGGTTCATTACTCTTCCTCCATAGTRCTATACAATATATTATATAAATATTGTTATTTCCCAGTTTAACAAATAGAAATATAATCGGATGTACGCTGACAATGTATACATGTAAAGGAAAACAGCGACCGGAAAATTTGGACAACCAGAAAAAACGGAAATTGATGGATAACGAAAAAAAAATCAACTGTACTCAGTAGGTACATACTAGGTAAGTGTATTTTTTTTGTATTTTATGAGTTAACAGTATTTCGTGAACAAAACGAATATTTCTAACGGAAAATAAATTTAGAATATAATAATAATATATAAGAATTTATTGGGATCTACGAAACTGTGAATTAACAAATAATGTATATTACTCGCTTTACGTACCATATTATTTAGTTTTATTATTACATGATGGACGTATTTACTATTTATGGTGTTTGTAAAACATTTTTTTTTTTGTCGACAAAAATAATTGATATGGAATTAAATTAATCAATAAGTAATTGAAAATGTAAAAAATATTTTAATAAACTGTATTGTTTGTATTGGTATCGCGCGCGCTGTGATTGAAAATATTTTATGAAAGTGAAAGTCTGAACCGATMAAATATTTTGTTCGCGGAAATTAACTCACGCATTATAGGTACGATATTTATCGCTAATATACCTACGTGATTTATGATTTATAAGAATATATTGCGAATGTCGTTTGACACACATGATTTGTTACTCCGTGTCACCTCCTGCTCGCCTAAAATTCGCGAGTCTTGAATTAAGTACAGTACATTAGTTTTCAATAAACACGCGTGTATCGGTCATAATGGTCATATTATTTTGACCATTATTTTGGTGGTGTAAATCGTTTAAATTTTAAACCAGCGGCGAAGATTCGTTGGTCCGTTAGAGTAGGTGGCGTCTCTATGACAAACRAGATTGGAATAAATATCAAAGGACAAACAACCAACCCGTTTTCTCCTCATTTCTTCTTATTATATTTATTTTTTATTTTTCTCTTTCTCGTTATTCGTAGATTGACGTTTTGTTTCTTAACGATTTTACCTGGAGGCATTAAACGAGATGTCAGTGCCAGAACACGCCATGTATATATATATATGTATTTATTATACTACTGGTGGAAAACATTAGAGAAATTGTATTTTCGTTTGTTTTGTCCAGCTGTTCAATTAAAAACAACCATGATGCGCCTTTTATGTACCTACACTTCTGCGGAACTGCCGTAATTTACTCTGCGAATACTGCTGTTTAGTAAAATTATTTCTTATAGTGATACTGATATCGAGTGAGGGCTGAAGATTATTGTGATTTTTGCAGGAGGAAATCGTGTAAGGGGACGCATTGTCAGAAAAAGTGAATAATTTCGTTACAACAGTTAAAACGATTTTAAAAAGAATACTACTTGAGTTTTAAATTGTGTGTGTGATATTACATTAAACATTTTGTTTGTGCTTTTATATATTATACATAGGTACTGCTGCTCCTATTTTTTCATGCCATGAATGTACCAAATTCAAATATTTCAATGTTGACAAGCGCTCAATCAATTAAATTTCTTTCTTCAGCAATATTATGCTTTACACATTCGTAGCTAATATGACACTGATTTWAAAAAAAATTGGAGGGAGATAAAAGTAACAAAAATAGCTTGAAAAAAAAACAAAAATATTTATGATAGGTATTTTTTCTTAAATAATCCAATATCTTATCAGTGAACAATCCGGTGCTAATTAAAAAGAACACAACTGTTTATAATTATTACTAATATATAAGTATTAAATTATTTTAGTGTGGGTTAATTGTTTCACCGACTGCTAATAATATATTGAAGCAATTATTCATT